GTAGCAGCGGTCCTCCCGTCAGCTGCACTCCTTGCTGTTTCGCCGTTTTCTGGAGCAGTTCCTCGTGCGTGTGGCCGTGCGAATTGTGGTAGTAGTTGAGGTCAGTGGGGGTGGCTGCTTTCGCATCGCCAGGAACAATTGTTGCGGCACAGGCGATGTCTACCTTCGGCTCGATTTGATAGCCTTCTTGAGTTAGCAGCTTACCCGTCCGGGGGAACCACACCTTCCCCCCGGCTCTCGTAGTGAGAGTCAGCCCCCCCTTCTGGCCGGAATACGTGTGGCCTTCCTCGGCCAACGCCGACAGTGAGAGAAGGTTGTGGGGGGACTCGGGCACATGAGCGGCGTTCAGGATTAGCACTGGTACCCTACCGCCTTCGGTCAGAAAGACTACGGTCACGTCTCCGTACCCTAGGAGAGGAACGGGGGCCTTGTTGCCTCCGATCCCCTTGACCCAACCACTACACTCGCGGTAGTTCACGAACGCGTTTGCGCATCGGAACATGTAGCACGTGGCTGCTGTATCAGCCACGTACACCATGACATCCTGGCCTAGTTCCGTTACCCCCACTAGACCTAGGTCAACAGCACCACACTCGCCTGGCAGGCCCGGCGCCGCGCAGAAGGCCTGGTTGTCGACGGAGTCGGCGTCGCTGTCGGCATGGACGATCTGCGCCAGGACGGCCTCCTCCGTCGCGCACTTGTCCTTGCTGTGACCCCATCCTGCGCAGTGTGAGCACTGCGGGAGGTAGTCGCTCTCCTTGGTGGTGCAGTCCTGCTGCGTGTGTCCGAAACGGCCACACGTGAAGCACCGGCCCGGGAACTTCTTGTCCCCGGTACCGCCGCCATCTGCCCCACCAGAGCCACTCCCCTTGCTCTCCTCGACGCCGCCACCGCCTTTTCCGCTGCTGTCGCCGCCCCCGCGGCCGCCGCTGCGGCCACCGCCACGACCACGCCAGGACGACCGCCCTCGGCGGCCGCCCCCACGCCACGACGACCGCCCACGGCGGCCGCCTCCATCGGCGAGGTAGGCCTGCTCGGCGCCGCGCGCGCCCTTGCCTTTCCCCGCCTTCACCTTCTCCATGATCGATCGATATTCGATGGTGACCTCCTTCAGGACGTCACTCCTTGTCAACCTCTCCTTGTGTCTGAGGGCGTGCTTGGTCATAGCGTACTCGTTGGAGAGGGCATCCAAGAAGAGGTGCAAAACGAAGGTTTCGTTAACATCAAGCCCCCGTTTCGAAAGGGACTCTGCGGTGGCGAGCATACTGTTGAGAGCATGTTGCGGATTCTCTGCCATCGGGATCTTCTTGGATGTCAGGGATTTTAACTCATCCGCAGGCTGCATGGACGATTCTGGGTCGTACAACCCCTTCAGCTCACGGAGCGCCCCCAGGGGCGACTCAGCTCGCTTCATTATTGTCCTGTCTTTCTCGTCCTTGAGAGCTCCACGGAGGAAATTCCACGCGTGGAAAGCGAGCTCTACTTTGTCGTGCGGGTAAAACCTGGACAGTTGGACTTTGCTCTGCCCACTGTTTACGGGGATCTCCGCCCCCCCCTCCTCGAAAAGCTCAAGAAGGTTTGCTGTGTTCGCTGCCATCAAAAAATACTCTAGCCACGAAGAAAAGCTCTTGGCGTCTCCGCTGAACGTGGGCGCTGTGTACTTCACGCTTTGGTATCCCACGCTCGCACTACCGAAGACAGCAGCACCACTTCCCATGGCGCTGCTGAAACAAGCTTGATTGTGATCAGCGGCTACTCTCACCTCTTGGGGGTCTGAACCCCCGACTTCGCCGCTGTGTTGTCCCGAAGGACCAGACTCTCTTCGCAGGTCCGCTGCCTGCGCGCTCCCGTCGTACTGCACGGTCCCAAAATGACCTGCAGTGCTTGTGGCGACGCTCTCCACGGCGCCGCCGCTTTCAGCGGCGCCCTCCGTGGCACCGCCGGACTTCTCCTCTATACGTGCAGCAAGTCCTCCGACCAGCTGCACCAGCTGGCCCATTTGCTGTGTCAGCGAACTGATCTCAGACCGCATGCTGTCGATCTGCTCGCTGCTATTTGTGTCTCCTGCCTGCGAGCCGTCCGGAGTGGTCCCTCCGGTTCTGCGGCCCGCCATCCCTAATGGACTCCCTCGAGGGAATAAACACTAGTGTGTTGGTATGTCCGTACTTGGGAGGAGAAGACACGCTTTTACTCTCTCTGATTAGGCACCCGCGGGAGCGAGGAAAGGAAGGGAAGAAGTGGCCCTCCCGAATTCGGGGAAGGGGGCCCACACATAGTAGCCTTTTTCAGGCATACGCATGCTCCTGTCTACGTACCCCCCCGTGCTGCTTGCAGATCTACCATGCTCGTATCCAGACTCACGAACACGGTATAGTGCCGGTGAAATTTTAGAGCACACAACCCCACACTATAGAGGGCTCAGTACTGTTTAGGCCTACAATCCTCCCTGAGGACGCGCTCATCATGCTCTTCCTGGCACGCAACACAGCACACAGGCTCCCCAGGGCGCACCGCCCTCGCAGCGCACAGGCTAGGGGGCACGCAGATGCCCAAATACCCTCCTACGTCATCCTGCGCCCTTTTGATGTAGGAGTTAATATGGCAGAGATCTACAAAGGATATTGTGTGGCATTTTGGTGGGGAAGATGGATAATAGTACTCTCCCCTCCAAAAAAAAACTACCAAAAAAGAAAATGTGTACGAAGGGGTCGGAAGTATTGTTTTTCGGGCACCCTTGGTACGACACATTATAATTGGTACCGAAGCTTAAGCTTGCCTCGGGCAACACTGCTAGGTCCTAAAGAGGCTTTCGTTGTTTTGCGGTGGTATCTCGTTTCCACCGTGCATTGCAAACAAACGCGGAATTTGAGTTGAACTCAACGTTTTGGAACGACAGGCCCAGTTGCACGCAAAGAAGGAGTCCGCTCGTGTGCCGGCCCACCGCGAGAAGGACATAATTGATGAACCCCATGACACAACATACATTGTCAAGAAGTCGACATGCATTAATGTGCTCAAGCTAACAAGAACAATTAACCGGCGAAACGCGGCGGAATAGCCTATGCAGCCTCCGTGGGGCAGGTGGCAGAGGTCTGTCGTTCGCAGGCTTATCCCGACCTCGAAGCAGGTAATCCCTTGTAGATTGGAATTTGATGGTAGGTACATGTAACTATACCCATGCGCGATATGGTCGAGATCGGAGTTATTTTATGTACAGGGGGATGCGTGGTGGATGAGTTCTAACCGTAAGTTCAATCATCGTCAAGTTGTAAGTGTGTGGTGAACTGCGGCGGAGCTTACGTCCGCGTCCGGAGGTTGCAGCGGTGTGGGCCAAAACTCTCGTTGACAGGAAAAATTGGTAGACACACAGCCATTCGAACGCGGAAGGAATTATCCCTTCAGCCTTTGATTGGACGGGGCTTCAATTTGGTGGAGGATAGGCAACGTTTACGCGCCAATCGATCGGGATGCGAGCAAGTTGGTGTCCGTAGGACCGGCCGCGCGCTTGTGTTTCGCGCTTGAGACGGCCCATCACCGACACAACCAAACCTTTATCGCAGAAGACACCAATCAAGCTAAACTTGCTGAGGGCGTCTAAACTAGTGCAGAATGGACGATGTGGAGATTTTCCTTACGCCTCGGCGGTTGGCTCAAAAAGTGCGTGGTTCAGCCTTTCGGACTGAACGTGATCCTCGTTGATTCATTCATCAATTCACTCATTACTTTGTTCGTTCTGTGAGACCTCTAGACACCATCGGTCTTGTAGTATACCTTGCCATTGGCACAGCTCTCGACTGATGGAAAGCACCCCCATTCAATTTCCCGACGCCATCATGCAGAGATATAGAGTGTGGAGCGAGCGCTCGAGGTAAGCATGGGAGCCCCGTTGTCGGCAGGATTATGGTATGTTTGTGCAAACCAGTCGCCATTGAGTGACTTCGATCGGTTGTGGATCTTGTAGAGTGAAACCAAACCAGCCAAGCATCACGCATTGTGCACCAAACTTTGCTCGGCGCTATACACAAATAGTAACCTCCGTACTGCTCAATGAATAGGGAATCAATCCGAGACAGATGGTATGTCGCGCTTGGTTATGTGAGAGGCTGGACCGGTTAGAGCCCGGCGTGCTCCGTACAGGCTTTGTAGGGACGCCAGGTCAATGGACTAATGACGGCGGCATGCACGACGATGAGTACATCCCATAGATCGAATCTTGGCGAAAGGGTCAAACACCATGGCACGCCCTCACTCGTACAACCCTTTAGTGAGATCAACTCAGATGATGAGGGTGGACAAAAACATAGACATCAGAATCACCATTTTGCCATTCGTCTGCAAACAATCATGTACAGTACGTACAACATACGTCGTTAGATCATTTGGTCCGCGAGAGCACCGCACGCTACTGCACTATCGCGCGCTGCGGTTGTCAATGAGGTCCTGCCACAATTCGAAATTGATTGTCAGCCTTGGAGGAGAAGTATGGGAAAAGAGGAAGCGGGGCGCACACGTCGGAAATTCTTCCTTTTTACTACCCATGCTCGCTCCTTGATTAATCAGTGAGGAAACCAACAAGGAAGTTGTCGGGAAGGTTTATTTTTCATTTTATGACGTGACACTACCCTCAGTATCCCAAATACCTCAAAAATATGTCTTAGTAGTGGTGGCACGTTCTGTTGGGTAGGGGGAAGATAGAATGAACCGAATGGTTGACAATGGGCTCGGGAACGTTGTCGCTGGCATCCTTCCGCGGGTTCGCCGTTTGGCAGCGATCAGCAAACTGCGAATGGCGATACCCGGCGAACCCACCCCTCTGCCACGCTTCCCCGTGAGTATGATCTTTGTCGACGAAAGCCTAGCTAGCAATGGTTAGTCAAATTGGGCGCTGCTCGTTCTGGCCAACCCTTCGAATGTTGCCAGTAGTCTAAAGGTTGTCTCCATTCTGTGTGTCGTTGATCTTGAGGCCTTTCTCGGTCCGCCATTAATGAGTCTATCAGGGTGATGTCGATTCTGCACTCCCTCCAGAACTCCCTCGCCCCCTTCGCTCGCTGACCTCAAGAGCTCCCGCATACCATGAATATTTGATAGCACTCGCTGACCAATTCCTGCATGTGCACATCTGGCTTTCACCCGCTCCGTGCGATAACCAACATTCGTTCGTACCATCTTTTCCCCGCACGTCTTCCAGGCGCAATCGTCGATTTCACATCTCGTACCCACATACGCAAACAAAAATTCGAGATGTTTTTATCCCGGGCAGGGGTCTGCAAAATCTATGCTCGATTTGGCCCCCGCCTGTTCGTCATCATCGTCCTTGCCTCCCGCGCTTGTCCAGGGTCTAGTGCATTCGCCAAAAGAGAAACAGCGTGTCAGGTGGTCAATTCATAGAGCAGAATTGGCGCATGGCATTGTATATAGTGTCTGCCGCTACCACCGCACTAGTTCACTCAAGTAAGCACGCGCGTCGTTGAGGTGAAAGGCGGCGTCAACGCTCTCCATAAACACTCTTCTTGGAGCCAAACGAATTGTGAACCAAAGTCGCGGCCCAAACAATGCAGCAAGCGTGATAGCGGCACTCACACACAATAAATGTCCGCTTTCGCGCCTCCCGTGCATCCGTTGGTTCATCATGTCTGTCGTCCATCGGAGGACAAATAGGGTACGCATATATATAACGGGAAACCCGCACTGTAGAAATGTGAAATGGGACCATTAAATTTGGGCTGCTATTCTTCTTCGAAGATACCTCACGGGGATGTCAAAAAGCTGTTTCAAGACGGGGTAAATGGGACGGCAAGTGATACGTGCAACACTCCATACGCAAATATTGACTTGCATAGATACTTCGTTCACCACACATGTTTCTGCGCGTGCTCTATTGCTCATCCCCTCGCTTTCGCTCAAGGGGCCAACGGGCTACGTCTTTTGAGGCCAAAAATGACAAGGATAATATTGGATGCTGCGGGTGGCTCGGGGTATACCGCGGGCGGCCCTGCTGATCGAACCAAGTGGAAAACCTGGCATATTCTTGCCTTCAGGCGCGCGCTGAAACGTGTTGAGGTGATTGGCGTTGGGTCCTGAACCCAAGTGACGATTTCCTTGTCATCTTGCCTGACTTCCCCCGATATTGCCCATGTCACTGAAGGCTTCCAAAGCCCATGACAGCAAAGCATGTGGAGGAGGGAAGGGGGAAGAAAACTGTGCCGAGTGGCTTCTAAGATCGACGTAGAAGATCGTTCTCACCCTGCCGCCATGGGTAGCCTGATACTCCGCAGCGCCTTGTCGGGCTAGGACGCCTTCTTGCGCCTTTACCCAGAAAGTGCTCCCTGCCGGAGAAAGGCAACGCAAGATGTGATTGAGACAGTCGCATGAAATAAATTTCCGTCCTTTGTCCGTGTCGCAAAAACGAGGTCCTGCTGCAAGAGGAGACAGGTGTACGCTCCATCCCGGCGTGTGAGGCCGTGCGAGGCCGTGCAATCAACATGCCTCCCAAGACAGGGGCAAATTGTAGTCGATGACGGTCAGTTTCTCATTCTTTCCCGTTGTCAAACAAAAATGCCCGAACCAAGACTTGAAGAATCTTCTACGGCGTAGTCTATGCCATCTGTTGCTTTTCGAAATGACAGCATAAACAGTGTTTCCAGTATTTGTTGTGGAGATGTCGGTTGAGAGAGTGGTAGATCAGCAGGCGTCGATCAATACGAGAGAAACGCGCAAGAATCATCGTCCCAAAGGATCTGCTGTCTACGGCTGTCGCTTGTGCGAGATTGTTACTGTGCCTGTGTACGGCGACGTTCGTTACCTTGGCTTTGGTAAACAAACAAATGGAAAGCGGTTGAAGGTTTCATGTTATTTTATCGAAGGTACACTCAAATGACCCGAGTAGACAACGCAAAACCTGTTCCTCCCACTTCGTCACCTAGGAAGAACTTTTGCAGGGAATCCTGAAGCCTGAACGCGGGGAAAAAGAGCAAGGGGAATGCTTTGTCCATCGCCCGGAACTCCTCAAAGTCGATCTGGCCGTCCGAATTGCTGGGGACCCGAAAAAGATCGAAGACAAAGCGATTCAAGGGCGGGCAAGCGCGGGGTTGTATGAAGTCAGATGTGGATATTTTTGGCTCGATTCTGACAAGCTTGAGGGGGCAATTCAGTGATCTGCGAAAACCGTACTCTCCGTGTTCGCTGCTGCAGTCCTCTACGCTCAAATCTAGGGCACTTTCCTAGCGTTAATGTGGCGTCACCATGTGCGATAGAGGGGGAATGGCGATTCGAGAATCATTTCAAGGGCGGGAAACAGGCAAGGGTTCAAGTAGCATGAACCACCGAGAGGAACGACAGAGAGCTTTATAGGTAAGTACATCCTACAGACATCTTCAAATCGATTTCGTGAGCAACGATGGTAGCGTGGTTGCAAAGGAGAAGAGGCGAGGCGAGATGGTGCATGCTCATATATCGATGGCGATTGCGTTCTCCCCCTCTGTCTCTCCTTCCCTCCCTGCGTCCCTCCCTCCCTCTTCCTCTCTCTCTCTCTCTCTCTCTCTCTCTCTCTCTCTCT